TTCTTATACAGACTGGATGGTGGTTGACCTTTGTGTATAGTACCTTATAATATCCTTACCAGAATTATGAGATCCTGGGAATGCAGGAATTTTAATCTAGGTATTCCATGACTGCAGTAGGTCACGACCCCATTAATTCACTACAATATTAACCACAGTTTCCTTCTTTAACCTTCTGGTCCAATGCAGTCAACCCATCATGTGCTTTGTTTAACTTGAGATATGGTTCCAAATCCTAGTACTTGAACATCTGCCTCCTGAAGAAGGCAATTTGGATGCCAAGATTCTGGAGTAATAAAACTAAAATTTGCACCTCTGACTATCAAATAAACAGTGACAATGCCGTTTATAAGCACTCTTAGGTTTGGTCTTTGATCATTTATGGAAATGCTGTTAGGGCTGTTGAAGAAAAAGGATCAAGATGGGTTTGACTCAAGTGTTCATGGACATTATCTAACTTTCTATTTTTAACCATTTTATTTTTTTGTATTTTTATTTTTCCATTCAAAAATTTCCACTTCCTCCAATTCACCTCCCACTCCCCCACTCACCCTACTCCCTCCTCTGCCAGAATATTTGTTTACTATTTCCTATTAAAATTTTTGACTTATCCTACGTAATTATGCCATAATCTAAAACAGTATGGTCTTTTGCAGAAGGCTGTGGATTTTTTTCTGTCTTTTCCTCTTTTTTTCTCTTTTTTCCTTTTTTTAAAATATATTGAAAATTTCCAAATATTCCCATCTTCCCATTTGCTCCCATTTCTTCTCACTTCCCCCACTCCTTCTACCCTACCTCTCCAGTCCTAGGAGAAGTCAGAATACCCTGCCCTGTGGGAAGACCAGGGCACTTCTCCCTCCATCCAGGTCTAGGAAGGTGTGAACCAAACAGACTAGGCTCCCAAAAAGCCAGTACATGCAGTAGAATCAAAACACAGTGTCATTATCATTTGCTTCTCAGTCAGCCCTCATTGTCATCCACATTCAGATAATCCAGTTTGATCACATGCTCCATCAGTCCCAGTCCAGCTGGCTTTGGTGAGCTCCCATTAGATCAGTCACACCGTCTCCGTGGGTTGACACACCCCTCGCAGTCCTTGGTCTTGTTCTCCCTCCTTCTGTTCTTCAACTGGGCCTTGGAAGCTCAGTCCAGTGCTCCAATGTGGGTCTCTGTCTCTATCTGCATCCATCGCCAGATGAAGGTTCTATGTTGATATGCAAGATATTGATCAGTGTGGCTATGGAAGAAGGCCAGTTCAGGTACCCTCTCCTCTGCTGCCCAAGGAACTAGCTGGGGAAATCCTCTTGAACATCTGGGAATCCCTCTAGAGCCAAGTGTCTTGCAAACACTTAATTATGATATTGGCACCCTTAATTAAGATATCTTCTTCCCTGCTCCCATATCCACCCTTCATCCATCTCAAATATCCCATTGCCCCAAGCTCTCCCCAATCCTCACCTTCTCCCTTTTCTCTCCCCACCTCCTCTTCCCACAAATGCATGGCCACCCCAGTGCTCCCAACTTTTGCCAGTGATCTTGTCTACTTCCAATATCCAGGAAGATAAATATATGCCTTTCATTGGGTACACCTTCATATTTAGCTTCTCTATGATCACAAATTTCAAGCTCAATGTTCTTTTTTATGGATATAATACATTTATGAGTGAGTACATACCATATTCATCTTTTTGGGTCTGGGTTATCTCACTCAGGAAAGTTTTTTTTCCCATCAATTAGCCTGCAAAATTCAAGATGTCCTTGTTTATTTACCGCTGAGTAGAACTCTGAAGTATATGTGTGCCACACCTTCTTTATCCATTCTTCTATTGACAGGCAAAGAGGTTGTTTCCAGGTTCTGGCTATTACAAATAGTGCTACTATGAACATAGTTGAGCAATTGCTTTTTTAGTATGATTTAGCATCTCTTGGATATATTCCCAAAAGTAGAATTGCTGGATCCTGAGGTAGGTTGACTTCAAATTTTCTGAAAACCCACACACTGATTTTCAAAGTTGATGCACAAGTTTGCATTCCCAACAGCAATGGATGAGTCTTCCCCTTATACCACAACCTCTCCAGCATAGGCAATCATTGGTGTTTTTTATTTTAGCCATTCTGACAGTTGTGAGATGGTATCTCAGAGTTGTTTTGATTTGCAATTCCCTGATGGCTAATGAGGTTGAGCATGACCTTAAGTGTCTCTTGGCCATTTGAACTTATTTTGTTGAGAATTGTCTTTTCAATTAAGTACCCCAATTTTTAATTGGGTTAATTAGAGTTTTAATGTCTAGTTTCTTGAATTATTTATTTATTTATTTATTTATTAAAAATTTCCACCTCCTCCCAACCTTCATTTTCCCTCCCCCTTCCCACCTCCCCCTCCCTATCTAGTCCTAAGAGCAGTCAGGGTTCCTTACCCAGTGGGAAGTCCAAGGAACTCCCCCCTCCATCAAGGTCTATAAAGGTGATCATCCAAACAAACCAGACTCCCACAAAGTCAGTCCATGTAGTAGAATAAAAACCCGGTGCCATTGTTTTTGGCTTCTCAGTCAGCTCTCATTGCCAGCCACATTCAAAGTGTACAGTTTGATGACATGCTCCATCACTCCCAGTCCAGCTGGCCTTGGTGAACTCCCATTAGGTCAGTTCTAATTAGATTAGTCCCAACGTCTCAGTGGGTGGACACACCCCTCATGGTCCTGACTTCCTTGTTCACGTTCTCCCTCCTTCTGTTCTTCATTTGGGCCTTGGGAGCTAAGTCCATTACTCCAATGTGGGTCTCTGTCTCTATCCCCATCCATTGCCAGATGAAGGTTCTATGATAATATGCAAGATATTCATCAGTGGTGTTATGGGACAAGGCCAGTTCAGGCACCCTCTCCTCTGCTACCAAAGGAATATTCTGGGGACCTCTCCTTGGACCTGGGAACCCCTCTAGAGTCACGTCTCGTGAAAACCCTAAAATGACTCCCTTAATTAAGGTATTTACTTCTCTGCTCCCATATCCACTCTTTCTCCATCCCACCAATCCCATTCCCCCAAGCTCTCCAGAAATCTCCCCTTCTCCCTTCTCTATACATATCTCCCCTTACATCCACACCCACACACCCCAGTGCATCCAAGTTTTGCCTGGCAATCTTGTCTACTTTCAATATCCAGGAGGATAACTATATAATTTTCTTTGCATTCACCTTCTTATTTAGCTTCTCTAGGATCATGAATTATAGGCTCAATGTCCTTTACTTATGGATAGAATCCACTTTTGAGTGAGTACATACCATATTCCTCTTTTTGGGTCTGGGTTACCTCACTCAGTAAAGCGTTTTCTGTTTCCATCCATTTGCATGTAAAACTCCAATGTGTAAATGTTCCACACCTTTAACCATTCCTCTATTGAGGGGCACCTAGACTGTTTCCAGGTTCTGGCTATTACAAATAGTGCTGCTATGAACATAGTTGAACAAATACTTTTGTAGTATGATAGGGCATCTCTTGGGTATATTCCCAAGAGTGAAATTCCTGGGTCCTGAGGTATGTTGACTCTCAGTTTCCTGAGAAACTGACACACTGATTTTCAAAGTTGCTACACAAGTTTGCATTCCCACCAACAATGGATGAGTGTTCCCCTTACACCACATCCTCTCCAGCATAGGCTATCATTGGTGTTTTTGATTTTAGC